TATTTTTAGTATTACCATTGGTTCAGTATATATATCATATAATATAACATACAAGTAAAATTAAGTAGGGTATAGTTTTTTGATAACATCTAACAGAAGCTATACTTTCCTCTTGGATACTACATATATTTATAAGGGATTTCTTGTGTTATGTTATCATTATAATGTGAAAATTAAAAAGACTTTTACTTATAACAGTATCTATATTCACTTTTTTTTAATTTTTTTATTTTTATTTTCTTTTCTGCATCTTCTCTCTTATTATTTTTTCTTTCTTTTTTGTTTCTCTTTTTCTTTACTTTTACTTTCATTTTTATATTTTTCTATATCAGAAATCATTCTAAACCAATTGTTGTATTTCTTTTAAATCTTATTAATTGCTTCTTCTCTACTATGTTTACAGTTAAAAATGACTACAATCTAAGCATTACCCTTCTTAAACATTTCTTTGACTTCTATCCTATGTTTGTTAGATATTAATAGTCTTTTTATAAACTTTATTCTCTCTTTTTTTAAGCTATCTAACATATTATATGCTGGTATTTTTGTTATATATATTAGCTTCTTATCATAATCTTTGTTCATAAATAACTATATACTTTGTTTTAATAGTGTTTCTGTAAAGCTGTTTTTTTTTGTTTCATAGTTCTATTTCTTTCTTTTTTCTTCTTTTTCTTCCTAATTTCTAATTACTACTATTATGTCTTGACAATCTTGTTGCATTATATTTGTCTTTAATGCTTTAATTTTTTTTTTTATATACTTGGCTATTATTATTGTTTTCATTACTATACTTATGTCTTTTATATCTTTTTTATTTTTTTATTTTTTGTCATTCTTTTTCTTCTTTATTTGTGCTTTATTAAGGTTCTTTTTTTTCTATTACTATATCTATTGCTTTTATTATTTGTTTTATCTTTTCTATATATATTTTTAGTATAATTATTTCTTCTTTTAACATAATTTGAATTTTCTTACTACTTATGCTTTCTACTGCTATTGGATATTGGCTTACATGATTTATTTTTTCTGTTTATTTTTTTATACTAGTTAGGTCATTTATATCTATTTTAATTATTGCTTCATATATTTTTCTTAGTATTATTATTTTTATTAAGTCAGTTTTTTATAATGCTGCTATAACTATATTTTTCATATTGAAATAATTGTTTTTATTTGCTAATTTTTGCTCTAACTCTTTATTATCTATAAGTTTTAATACTATCTTTGTTCTTTTATTTATCAACTTTGATATTATAGACTCTTTTAGTTTTATTTGTATCAACATTTGATTGTATTTGTATAACTATTTCTAAATGTTTCTATTATATACACTTTGTAATACTTATGTATCTATCCTATTTATTTTTATATATGTTTGTTTATTTGTTTTCTTATATGTTTACATAATCCAAAATAATCTATAATTCCAGGTTAATGTTGTTTTTCCAAAATTTTCTTTTTAGTTTTATTTTGTAAAATTTGTCTTCTTCCTACTTGCTATGTTTTTTATTTTTTCTTGTTGTTGTATCTGTTTTGAGTGCTCTTTCTATTTGTCTAAGTTTCTATTTGTTGTTTTGATACTGGTTTTTGTATAAACTTTAATTTTTTTTTTGAACATACTATCAACTTCAAAATCATTCAAGTAAAAATGTTTAAAACTAAAAAATACTGTATATATAATAATATTTTTAAATAAATTATTAAGTGGTAAATCACAGTTGAAGGGTATAAACTTCATAATAAAAATTAACAGAAAATTACTATTACTTTCATATAATGTTAAAATGCCAAAAGTTTCTGATATTATGTAAAAATCATATAGTTATAAAGGAGAAAATGTCAATAGCTTATGATCTACTGAACCAATTTGAATAATTCTACCACTATTAGAACCGGAATGACTTGTTATATAATCTTTGTTAGAAACTCAAGAAAGGTTTACTTGTCATGAAAAAACTTTTCATTGTAAGCTAGCTGCATTCCAACCCTATAGAAAAACCATATCAACTTCCGGTAATTTTACTATTAAATTCGCTATTTTTATACCCTTTAACCACGATTTACCTCTTAATTTATTTATTTTTGGTCATGGGTTAAGAGCCTGTACATTTTAAGGACGCCCTTGCCCAAAACCTAGGTTTTCAAACATTGTCACGTGAAAGTGAAATTTTAACGGGAAGATATGTCCTTTGGACTTGAGGATGCCCTAAATCCTAAACTTGAACAAAAAAAAATTTAGCCAAAATAATGACGTTAATTAGTTAATTATTTTATTTATTTCGACTAAACTCAATAAACGTAATATTTATTATAGCCATAAAGTATTATGAATACGGTTTTTTTAAAGTATTTCATTGCTTTATAATCCAATTTATGCAATGGAAGTTTTATTATCCCTCGGAATAATTTTTATAGCTAAACTTCTCGCCATAGACAGAAGTTTGTCTGATTGGCTAATAAATTCAATTTAATTTTACATCATTTATACAGTTTAGAGTACTTTTTAAAAAACGAAAACTAATCATAATGAAATAAAAAAAAGCTGCATAGAAGGTTTCATTAGAGCTGTAGGACTCCATAGGCAAAAATAAGATCTAATTCTCGTCCGTTTATATAGTAATAACTTCTCAAACCCGATAAAATTATCTTATTACTAAACTAATTTTTTAAACAGGCGATAATTAAATCTTACTTTTGACTATGGAGCCCTACAGCTCTAATGAAACCTTCTATATAGTTGTTTTTTTTTAATTTTATTATGGCTGGTTTTTGTTTTTTTAAAAAATAATATAAACTATATAAATAATGTAAAAGCGATATCATGAAGACCACATAACCAAATCTGACCAAAGTTTGTTTATTTGTATTATATACTTGTATAGCGATAGAATTAAATAAAACAATTTCGGTCGGATTTGGTTATGTGGTTGTTACGATATCACTAGTGCTATTTTTGCTATTGCTAGAATCCGGTATCGGATCAAAACGATTCGGATCCGATTATTAGATCACGAGAATTTGGGGCATAAAATTTGCTTCGAGGGGTGCTTAATTTCGAAAGTATACGGGAATACTATTGAGCCATTTGGCTTAAATGATTTTTTGTTATTGCGTCCTGGATTCAGAATTATAAAAAAAACTTTTTGCTTAAATTAATAATTAGAGTTATAATTTTCTGGAAGAAAATTAAAAATAAAATCTACAAGGTTTTCTGGTGCAATTACATTTTCTTGATTAGTTTTTATGATTTTATTATTCAGCGCCATAAAAAACCCCAAACTTTATTTTATTTTAACTCTTAAACCCCAACCCTAAAGTTTAATCTTAAAATGAGATAAAATTTTCTATAATAAAACATATAACCCACTCCGTAGCACTCAAGAAGTGGGTTAGATGTTTTATTATAGTCTGGAGCACTCCATTAACAACTCTACATATAAGAGTTAATATCGTCACCTCCGGTGAATACTAAATAAATTTTAATTACCATCATGATCCTAAATGCAGAAATGATGAATTGACAATATCACATGATTTTCGAAACTTTTTTGGGTGGCAATTTTACCTCGGTCGTTTTTATCAGTCATTAAATGAAGTCTCACAAACTAATGAAATTTTAATCAATTTCAAAAAAAAAAAAAGATTAAAAGGATCTAATATCTTAGCATTAGCTAATTAATATAAAATTTAAGCAATGTTAGCTTCTTGGGTATCACAACCAGCCATTGACGGCAAAACTTTATAATGTAGCATTTCGAAAAAAATTCTTGGAAGAGATCTGAGAAAAAGCTTTGCATATTTTTTGTTATATGATTACGACTACAGTACTAGTACCACAGTATATAGTGATTATAGTCGATAAAAAAATTTATAATTTTCCTTACAAATCGAGTTTTACATAGAATATTCTAGATCTTGTGTAAATTATTAAGATTATAGGGTAGCCAAGAGAACCTATATCATACAAGAAAATTTATAAAAGTGGAATCCCGAAATTCGCTATCGCTATAGCAAAATTGTTAGTACTGTAGTATGGTAAAAAAAGTTTGTGATCTTGGACAAAATTGTCAATTCCGACCCGAATTTTGGGGATCCCCTCTGTATGAGTTTTTTACCAATTTCGTACAGCCTTATCAAGAACTAACGCTAATTGATATTTATTATGTGGGGATAGGGGTGTACGAAATTGGTATGCGAAACCTGTAACTAGTAATACAAATCGAAGAATTGATTAGTTGCAAAGAATCGATTGAAAAATCATTTATTTACTTAATGAATTAGTTGCAACTAATCGATCTGTTGCAACTAATCGATTAGTATATTTGTAACACTACCTCAGTTTAGAGATTTCTTACATTTAACTAATTTGATTGGTTAACATCCCTAATCATTGGAGTCGTTAAAGATTAACGCTTCACGCACATAGGTTTTGAAATAACAGGAGGATCCTTCACCCGGTGTGCAGCACTATTTTACAATACTAGATTATTCCGTTAGTTGAATGATCGAGTATTGTAAAATAAGTTTTTTATATGTTGCACACCAGGTGAAGGATCGGTCGACGTTTCCTCCTGTTTTTTAAAATTACAGTCGTAAGATGATAAATATAATTAATGTGTTATAGTTAAATTTTATGTGCTGCAAAGGTACTAAAATTAGTATAATTAGTATCGACGTAACAAATATCTAGTATTAAGATTAGAATCATTCTACATTTAAAAGATTTTCTTGCGACAATTAAAAAATATTTACGGTGGTCAGTAAACGCGATTAAATTCGTGAAACATTTATTTTCCTATTCTGAACTATTTCTCACGAACTTTTTTTTTGGTGGTCTTTTTTTTTGTTATATTTACATTATGAAATATATATGGACGAGAACAAATTTATCTTTAGATAGAGCTTTGATTCTTCTGTGCTTGTTACTACTCGTACAATTATCATGCTTTTTTCTTTTTACAGATCAACCTTTTCCGAAAATAAGTTTTACTTCACAAATGGAGCATACCAAATCATTCATAAAAGTTGCTGGTACCGGATTTATTCTAGACAATAAACCACATTATGTGATTGGGGCGAACTACTGGCAGGCTATGAACCTTGGAATGGAAAGTGGGAATAGGTCAAGAGTATTAAAAGATCTAGAATCTTTAAAAAAGAACGGGATTAATTGTTTGAGAATTATGGCAGCAAGTGAAGGTCCTCCTAATGAACCTTATAGAATGTACCCAGCTTTGATGAATGCACCAGGAGATTATGACGAAAGTGTTTTTCAAGGTATTTTTCGCGCTCATTTTTTATACAACATTTAATCAATCTTTTTAACCGTTATTTTGCGACAGGACTTGATTGGTTTCTTGATCAATTAAAAAATTATGACATGACTGCGATTATGGTTAGTTAAACCCATCATCTATAAACATATTTTTGGCTAAATTACTTTCCAAAGTTTGAAATCTTTTGCCAATAAGAAATAACGGTTGGAGTTTATCTCATTTAATTCATTTTCAAATAGACCCTATCGAACTTTTGGCATTGGTCAGGTGGATTCGCTCAATATGTTCATTGGGTTGACGATTCAGCACCAATACCATATCCTGAAACTAGTGGTTTCTCTTTTGATTCTTACTCCTCCAGATTTATTACAGATCCAAAAATTAACGATACATGTCAAAAGTATTATTTGAATCATGTGAAAACTGTTATAAATCGGAAAAATACCGTTAATGGCATTGTATATAAAAATGATCCTACAATATTTGCCTGGGAATTAGCAAATGAGCCACAAGCTGTTTACGTCCCGAATGCGCATGAGATAGTTTTTCAATGGTTCGATGAAACTTCTAAGTTCATTAAATCATTGGACAAAAATCATTTGGTAACTACGGGAACAGAAGGAAAACATGGAAAAGATTGGTTCATTACTATGCATAAAAGCGATAACATTGGTGAATTATTATTTTTTACAATGTGAATTCTCATTAAACATACATAATTCTTAAAAAAAAAAAAAATTTATAATTTAATTTCAAAAGATTTTACTAGCGTACATTTATGGGCTGAACATTGGGGACATTATATACCAGATGATTCGAAACCAGAAAATCTTCAAAGAGCTGTGGATTTCATGCGTCGTTATCTGCAAGAAACTAGTGATTGGTCAACTAAAATCTTAAAGAAACCTGTTTTACTAGGAGAATTTGGTCTGTCTTAAAATCATTATTGTTTTCTTTTCTTTCACACTCTCTGATATCTTTCTTTTAATAAAGGAATGTCGCGTGATGCTTGGACCAAGATCTCAAAGTATGATCCAAAAGCACCGGTAACTAACAGAAATAAATTTTTCACTGAAATAGCGAATAAAATATTTGAATTGGAAAAACAACATGCGTCAACGGGACTTATGTTTTGGGCATACTCTGGACTTGGTCGCCCCGATGATACAAAACCTACGTGGGTCGGTGATCCACCTCATGAGGGTAAGTGTATAACTTAATGTGATTTAAAATAACTTTGCAGCACACAGGAGTCTAGGAAGCAGATGCATAATGTATTATATTTTATTTTCGTCTTTCATCAATATAAGTGCCAGGATGGCTATCTGTATACGATTCAGATAAAGAAACACTAAATGTATTCTTGGATCATGCAAAGAAAATCATGAATGACGATACGCTAACAGTTCTTTAAATGGTGATAATACGATGAGAGGTGTATCAGATGGTTAAAAAAATTTTTTTGGCTGCGTTTCTAATATAAAATATAAAACTTGATGTCTACTATACATTAAAACGCTTGTAAAACAAATGCAATTGAATCTAGCCAATTTCAGATATATTTAAGTGCAATGCTACTATTATAATAAACTATATTTATAAATACTCTTAAAAAAAAATATTATCGTCAAATAGCGATAGTGTCAAATCCGTTTTAAAATAAATTTGTGCAATTACAATAATAAATTCAGTCGACAAATCAAAACATTAATGATTTGAATCAATTAGAAACTTTTTTTTTTTTTTTAAAAAAAAAAAACAAAAAAAAACAGGAGACCAGCAATCATGGGCGAACTCCGCAAAGTAGGCAGAAAACTCCCAAGGCCGTTCTGTACCCTGCCAAATATTGGTGAACCTCATATACCGTAGTATATGGTGGATTAGGTGTCACCCAAATCCTATATTATCCTTACTCATTAATTTGAGGCACTAGTATTAAGAGTGGAAAGCTTATATACTAACTTAAATTCAATTTGTAAAAAATTATGGGATTAAAAATTACGATTGGCGTACATCAGCATTTTATGCAGATCATGGGATTTTAACCAGAGGCATTTAAGTATATTTAAATGTCATAGCCGGATGTATAACTCGTGATGTGATCGCAATGCCATAATTGGAGATCGTGGTAGTAATTTATATGTGTCACGTGAGTTTTGCTTTACAAATTTATTAGTAATCGATTTAAAAACTACCTGGCTTTAGACGACCTCCATAACGATCAGTGTTGTTAATGTCTTTATTTGGAATTTTGAACCTCGGTTATTTAACTGGTTCAGGACAAGTCATAAGAC